GTTTGGGACGCTCTGGAACGGATGTATCCTCGTCCTAGCCCCGTGCGGCCTTGGCCTCGGACTGTTGCGCAATCATCTCGGCCACCGAGCGCTCCGCTCCAAAACGCTCCTTCTCGAACCGAGCCGGCCAGATTCGGCCGGAATGTGCGCTGCTCCGACGCCCCTGGGCGACGGCAAGCGGCTCTTCTCGTCCAAAGCCCTGTTGCCAGAGGACCAGCTGGCCATATCGGGGAGGATAGCCACTGGGCGGCTCGCGAATTGGCTCAGGCAGCTGGCTCTCCCGGCGCCCACGTATCGAGAGAAGCGCCTGGCGGAGGGGCCGAAACGAGTAGCATCCAGCTTCGGGGGGGGGGAAGTCGCCATCGCTCGGACGTCCATTCCCCGTGCATTTTTGCGGTTTCGTGCGTATGTTCTTTCCCAAATGATCCAATCCAACATTCTCCTCGATGGTTCTCGCCGAAGAAAAAACGCACACGTCCGAGCGATGCCAAGTGAGAGGGGAAAACTGGCCCAGGGGGGAGACGATAATCTGGAATCGGCGACACCTCGCTGATAGATCAGCGATGGGCTCCCGATGGGGAAACCGTGCGCTAGGCTGGGTTGGGGAGGAGGAGGAGGACAAGGACGAGGAGGAGGAGGAGGAGGAGGAGGAGGAGGAGGAGGAGGAAGAGGAGGAGGAGGAGAAGGGAAACGCCTGGCCCCGTCTGGCGATCAATGGGCGATTGTTGGCCGACGCCTCCCGCGTGGGGGAGTCCCCCCCCCCCAACGTTGCCCCCGATATTATCTTATCGAGAGCCCTGCTGCCACAAGTCGGCGGCGAGCAAGAGGGGAAAATGAGAAAGAGGAGGCCTTCGCAGAAGGCGGCGAGGCTTCTCATAAGCCCTCTGGTCCTTTGACAGGTTTTCTGAATCTGCGGGGAAAGCCTTGGAAACTTTTCAGAAGTCTAGGGGAATTCGGAGGCTTCTGAAAAAGGCCCGCCCCTCTCGCTTTTCCCCCAGGCTGGCCGCCGAACAAAGCTCGACGCGCCCGAAACGGGTACGGGGAAAATGGGCACGATGCCCAACAGCAGATGTTCTCCCAAACTGACAGACGCCGCTGTTGGGCAGGAGGCTCCCGTCTCAAATGGGCAAAACCTGCCTGCGGCGACGCCGACTGCGAAATCGGTTCAGAATGGACGCGAACTGCTGTCGGTCCGCGTGCCCCTTGCTTCCGTACCCATTGTGGCCCCCCCCGCAGACAAGCCGTTCTAGAAGAAGGAAAAGCGCCGTAAACATAACTTTTGGCGCTCCGCGCGGATTTCTTGGATCTGCGCCGGACCCCCCCCTTGGCGCGCGGAGCGCGCCAGGGGCGCCGGAGAGGCCGCCGTGGGTGCCCAGCGCGGATCCGAGAAATCCGCCAGGACCGCCAAAAGTTTGTGCTTACTTACGCAGAACGAAAGATTTTCCTCTTGAGGTGAAAATGGCCATGAGGAGTTCGCGAAACAACGTCGGCGCCGCCCAAGAGGAAACAACTTTCGTCCTGGGGATGGGCGTTTTGGCCTTCGGACTCGTTGGTTACCGTATAGCCGACACACCACATCTCACAGGCAGTCCGTTATTGGTAACCACACAGCCGACACACCACATCTCACAGGCAGTCCATTGGGTCAGGAGACGCAGGGCCGAAACGCACTGGCGTTTTGACCTTCGGACTCGTTGGTTACTATATAGCCGACACGCCACATCTCACATGCAGTCCGTTGTTGGTAACCACACAGCCGACACACCACATCTCACAGGCAGTCCGGTGGGTCAGGAGACGCAGGGCCGAAACGCATTTACGCGGGACGAAAGACTTTCCTCTTGAGGTGAAAATGGCCATGGGGAGTTTGCGAGACAACGTCGGCGCCGCCGAACGGACGGCGGCCGGACGAGCTGTTTGCAGCAACCGGGGGGAGATGGATGTATGTATTCATGTTGAATGGGGCCCGCTCGCGCGGGGAGTTGATGGGAGTGCGCGAGACGACGCAGGGCCCATCGTGAAAACTTGATTACCGAACACCCCTCCCCCGTAGAATCTTAAGACGGGCGGTTTGCGGGGTCCGCGGATCCGATTTCTTCCGGTCCCCTGTTTACATCTAGTAGTATAAATCTAAAACAGGGTAGAAATCGGATCCGCCGTAAAAAATAAGACCGGACACGGATCCAGCTAATCCGAAATCGGATCCGCGCGGACGGAAATCGGATCCACCGAAACAAACACCAAAGCCAAATTTGGATTTGCGCGAACTTCATGGGAACCGACGGCGGAGATCTCATACGGGTCTGCTCAAGACTTCAAACCTTCGCTCCGGGCCCAAGAGGGAAAAACTTTCGTCCTGGGGATGTATAGCGTTTTTTCTTCTTCGAGTTGTGCCCCCCCCTCGACAAACGAGCCGTTCATCGCTGGTCCCCGGGCTTCCCTCCGGCCCCGCCCCTCCTCCAGGCCGTCGGCGCCGGCGCTGCCCGGCGTGCCCGCGGCTCTGAGTGCGGAGGCTGCCTCGCGAGCCCGCGCGCGACTCGCTGGGCTCGTGGCGGGCCCCTCCCTGCCCAACCGGTGGCGCTCGCCTCTCGCGCTGCGCTCGGGTGCGCCGGCCCCGAGGTGCTGCCCGGGCACCGTTCCCACACGGGGCGTCTTCGTGCCGGGCTCCGGGCTCAGTGGCCCTCGCAGGTCGCTCCGGGTTGGAGGAGCGCCGCGCCAGTGGGGGGCGGAAGGGCCCCTGGCAGGTGGTGACTGTCGGTGGCGCAGCATCGTTCCGCGGCGTCGGACATCGGGGGAAGGGGGGGTGCAGGAAGAAGGGGTTCCGCGCACCATGGTCCGATGCACGTGCGCGCACGCGGGGGGCCAGGGGTCGAATGGAAAGCAGTGGGAAGGAGGGGGCCGTGAAGCCTGGGAGATGTCGTGGGCCCGGCCATGTGATCGGCCACCCCCCTGGTGCTCATCCCCCTCGTCGCCGCCTTCGCCCTCCCCAGTGTGCTGAGCGCGTCAAGGCGGGCGACCTTTTCGATCCTGAGCACCTGCAGGCCCGTCTGGGGACCCCCAGGGCCAACACAAAGACAGCCCACGGCTCCAATTCCATTCCATGAGACACATGGTGCCCACAACTCCCGAGCCGCACGTATTTTCAATACGCCACCGTGCTGGATGATCTCAGTGGGATATCCAATTTCAGGGCCAGGGGCCCCCGATTGCCAGGATTCCCAGGCGCACCTTGGTGCTCTCACGCGCTCCTCGGGATCTCTGCGCGACTCTTGTGGAGGCCCAACATGGCCTAAGGTGTGGGCCCAGGGCCCGTCCAGTTGCCCCCTTCAGCGCCCCCAGGACTGCCAGCTGGCGCCCAAGAGGCGACCCATAGGCCCCTTCAGAGGCCCCCAGAGGCCCTAGGATATCTCCCAGAGGCCCCCGAGAGGCTTCCAAGAGGCTCCCCAGAGAGACCCCAAGAAGCCTCTTGTCCGCGACTCAGGCCCAACACCAGGATGGGTGGAAGGCCAATCGGCAGGAGTTCATGGAACACGGATGCGGTATCTGATAAAATGCAAGAGATCGAGGACCGTATTGTACTCAGACTATGCGTGTCCCCTCTGTTTTACCTTGCTCTACCATGTTGCACTCTTTTACTCTACTCTATACCGCCTTGCTCTACACCATCACCACTCCTAGACCCCCCTCTCCCCCACTCGAACGGCCACTGACAAGGGACTCTGCGTTCTTTCCCGTCATCGCTGTCACTCCCATGATAACTTTAGAATTGCTGTTGGCCATGATTGTGAGTGGTTTTCGGCCTCATCTTTCCTGGTGCGCTTGGGCCCACAATCCCAAGCAAAAGACAATGCGACGTGATTGGGGGTGCACAAGCCTTGCGTCATGCTGACCAGCCTTAGCGAATCTACGCTCGACGAAGCCTCAAGCCCGGCTTCGAAGTGGCCCTTAACTGTCGCTCCATTGCTGTCGCCTTCACATTCTGATGACTGTCCAGTATCGTATGCTATACAGAGGTTGGAATATCCGTGCTATTCTCAACGATATTGTGAATGACCAGGCAGTGCCACTCCTCCGATGTCAGATGCGCGTCTTCAACACTGCACTATGACTTTTTCTTGCCGCGATCGACGCCGACGCGGGCCGCGCGCAGCTGCTGCAGCAGATCGCTACTTTCGCGGGCCCCCAGGGCCAGGGCAAACCGTTTGAAAAATTGTGAGGCTGTATGCCAGAACAGGTCGTGCGCGCACAGCCTGCGCGGGCATCTGGCCAAATTTACTTCCCCCCTGTTCGGCCGTCACTGCCTCCCGTGTGGCTTCGACCTCTCTTCCTCGCAGTCTCTCTCCTTGTCTCCCTCTCTCCTCCCTGCCTGCACACATCCACCCCTCGACTCCACGCAAGAGCTGGGCTTGACAGCGGAGGGTACAGATTTCTGTAGCCTCTATCGCAAGAGCAAGGCTTGACGAGCCCTGAAGTTTGACGGAGATCTAATTCACAAAGCAATCGAGAAAAAAGATGCTGGAGCGTCTATGCCAGAATCCCGCGACTAGAGAGAAACAAAACACGTGCGCCGTCCGCTTCTCAGATTGCTGCATACACGCTGCCTCATAACACCAGCGCGCATATCACTTGCGACTGACAGGCGCAAGCCCCCTACATACAAATGGTAAGGCACCGTCAAAGTGTCGGCCAAGTAAGGCCACTCGCACCGTGACAAACAGATCAAGGTGCGGCTGACAACACTTGCGGAATAGCAGTGGAGCCACGTAACGCACAAGCTCATGCAGTCATTTATGCAAGCTTGGCCCAAAGAAAGCAGGAGAGTGGCCAGCAGTGACGAAGAGGAGCAGGCAAGAAGAGCGGGAAGTGGTGATAGGGACGGGGGAGACAAGAGAGAAGCGGCTGCCGAACACAGGCAAGCGGCGAACCTCGGGAGCCGCGCGCCGAGCAGACACCTGCTGCGTAATCGGCGGCCGGTGGAACCACTGCTACGTCGTTGGCGGCTAGTTGAGCCACTCCATGCTCCTGCGCCGCGCCCGGGTGCCGGCCGAGGGCGCCTCGCTCCACGAGATGTCCGCGAGGCAGATGGTGGAGTTGCTCATCTCCTGCACGAGGCGCTCGTGCCTCTGCGCCATCGAGGGGTACTTGTTCATCACCCGGGAGTACTCCTCCCTGTTCAGCACCGCCAGCTCCGTGGGGCCCTGTTCGGGTCGGGCGATAGGGGGGGATAGCAAAGGGGGGGTTTGAGAATCAGCTCACGTAGCTGATTTTCCCGGCGCCTCCCGGCGCCGGAGGCGGCTATGTATCGAGGAATGGGCCCCTCGGTGAGGCCGAAACCAGCTGCATGCAGCAAATTTCGTAACCCCCCCTTTCCCAATCCCCCCCTTTCGCCCGACCCGACCTGTGCGATGATGCTCGCGGTGCGGACGTGTCGCTTGCCCAAGACGCTTGCTTCGCCGAACCAGGCGCCCTTGCGCAAGATCCTCTGGCCGCCGATGCCCTGCGTGAGGTCGACGCTGGTGCGGCGGTCGTTGGAGGGGCGTCGAGGCGCCGGTTCGTCAGACCTGGCCTGGACCAAGTCCTCGCTGGGGACGTCCAATGTGTCTGGCCAGTCGGCGCTGAAACGGGCCACCAACTCGCCGTTGACGACAAAGACGAGATCCTCGACAAGCTGCCCGGTCTCACCCACCAGGTCGCCAGCGGAGCAGTGCACGAGCATGTGCGCCTGGGCCAGCTCCGCCACGAAGGAGTGTATTGCCCCTCTGAACAGCGGGAAGCGGCCGATCGTGCCGCTCAGGATTGCGAAGGAGAACGTGCGCTGGAGCGCAGGAGAGAGGCGCGCGAACAGCTCGGGGTCCAGCGGCGTGATGTTGACCTCGTTGTTGAGGACCTGCCGCAGGCTGCGCTCCACCCGCAGCTGCAGACCCTGCGGCACGCTGTGGCGCCGCATGAAGCGCGACATGTTAGACACGCAGCTCTCCACCTTCTCGTCGAAGATCCTGTCCATCACGTTGGAGAGTGCCGCCACCACGCTGCCGAAGAAGACCGGGGAGAGCAACATCACGAAGATGTTGAACACCCTCGCCCAGGTGTTGAACGCGGGAATGTCGCCGTAGCCCACGGTACTCAGCGTCATGGCCATCCAGTACATGTCGCTCACGTACCTGTGCCACCACTCGTTGCCCTCGCAGTACAGGTCTGGGATGTTCGGCGAGATGTGCGACTCGACGTCGCACTGCAGCAGTCGCCAGAAGCAGGCGAGGCTGTGCGACAGCAGCAGGACGACGAGGCCCCACTTCAGGGGCAGCAGGGCATGGACTCGGTACTCCTTCTGGAGGAGAGATATGAGCGGTGCCAGCCTCGGCGTGCGCAGCAGCTTCAGGACCATGCACGTGCTGTAGGCCGCCGTGCCCGCGGGGGCGGCGAGGAAGGCCGGCCACGCGCACAGCAGGTCCAGCAGCAGCCACCTGCGCGCGTAGTTCGAGGCGATCTCCCGGGCGCCCACGACCATGACGCCCCTCGGATCATAGAACGCGGTGCGGAACGCGACCAGGATGTAGACCAGCCACAGGCCGTCCGCGACATACATCGGAGCGGCCCAGCTTGCAGACAGGCCATCCCTCTTGAAATAGGCGAGCGCCATCGGGCTCAGGAGCCCGGTGTAGACGATCGCAACGGCCATGAGGGTGGCCAGGACGAGGTGCACCCGGCTCTGCGGCGGAAGCATGAACGGAGGCAGGTCCACCTCGTCGTCCAGGAGCGTGCCGCCCGTGCCGAGGCTCGCCGCCCGTGCCACGTCCTCGGCTCGGAGCTGCAGCACCTGGTTCACCTTGGACATGTCGGTCCCCGTGCTCGGCGCACCACGCCAGCGCGGGCTCTGGCTCTGTTGCATGTCATCCCAGAACCCCAGGGGGTAACTGGCGGTGTCGGTCTCGGATTCCTGCGCGCGCTCCGCGCCGCTGCGGCCCTTGGCGGGCGAGCCACGGCTGCTGAGGTTGCTCCTGTTGCTCACCATCTTGCTCACGCCGTGCGCGTCCGCCTCGGGCTCTTGGCTGGTGTCCTGCGAGGCGTCCGGCACCAGCTTCCTGCGGCCGACGATGGGCATCCGCAGGGCGGCGGACCTGGAGCCGTCGACGCTGCCGCTGGGAGCGCCCCTGGCGTCGTCCTTCTCGGGCAGGCCCGTCGCCGTCGCCCGCAGCTCGGACGGCTCCTGGGCGCTCTCCGGGATGACGTAAACCCCGGCCACCCCCTTGGGCGAGCCAAAAGGCGCGGGAGTGGCGCCGTCCGTGAAGTCCTGGACGAGGTGGGGCGTCGGGGCCGTGTTGGTGCGGCCGGCGCTTCTCGCCTCTTGCGAACTGAACAACGGCGCAGTCTTTAGCCGAGTTCCACTGCGAGTCCATGCCGAATCTTTGGAACTTGCTCTCTCGTTCCTCTCGCTGTCGTGGGACACGGCAAACGGGGAGATGATGCTCAGGAGGTCCTGGCCGGTGGCGGCGCCCTCCTTCGACCGAGTCCGCAGCTTCACGGCCTTCCACTGGGGTGCCTGCGCGAGCGGCACACTGCCGATCTCCTGCACGGTCGCCTTGTTCTGAAGCTGGTTGAAGGCGTCCATCATGAGCGCGAAGTGCATCTGCTGGTTCTCCAGCTGGAGCTCCACGCGCGAGGACGCCCCCTGGAGCGCCTTCAGGCGCGCGTCGATCGACGCGAGGGCCTCGTCGGTCGGGGAGGCGGGCGCGCCGCCGCTGCGCGCCGGGCCGCGGTGAGCTGCTGCAGCGCCTCCCTCGGCGGACGACAGCGGCCTCGTGCTCTCCTTGCTGGCGGAGGCCGGCTCGGAGGCCGCCTCGCGCTCGCCGTGCTCGGAGGGGTCGGCCGGGCAGTTGGGCAGGACCACGTGGGCCTCCCTCCTCAATCTCCTCCTCCCTCCTCCTCCTCCTCCTCCTCCTCCTCTTCTCCTCCTCCTCCTCCATCTCCTCCTCCTCCATCTCCTCCTCCCTGGCCTCCATGGTGCCCCGCCTGCCCTGCGGGCGCGGGCAGGCCCAAGGGCGCGCGCGGCCGGCCGCGCGGGGTGAGTCGGGGGCTGCGGCGCTTGAGCCTATAGATGGCTACGGCACGGTGCGCTACACCACGCGAAATGGTTAAGAGATCATGGGTTAAGAAATTCATGGTCTCAGAACTCGGATAAAAACCCACAATTTCTATCAAAATCTTAGGATTTACATTGAAACATTAGGAATAATCGAGACTCTGGCCGAAAACTCAAGTTTTCTCAAGCATCGCCTAAGGTGTACGGTACATCGACAAAATGTTGCACCACCTGGCGCTGACAATACATCGCATCGCTGTCATACCAATCCTTTGTTCCCCCCCCCCCCCCCTCCCCCCGGTCTCAATATCGGGTTCGGGTTCGGTCCGGGCTGGTCGAAGCAGCTCGGCGGTGCAACATTTTGTCGGGAGCCCCCGGGCGGAACAGGGGCTCTTCGCCATGCACCAAATATTAAGATCGGGGGGAAGGGGGGGGCAAGAGCAATGCAGTACAGGTGCCAATGCACAGCAAACGTGGTGCAACATTTTGTCGATGTACGACTGAAATGTTCAAGCTTCTCGAATCAGACAACCGTGGGGTGGACACGTATAACGAAGATGAAACTCATCTGAATGGTGGAAGCCGAAATGTGGCCGCAGGGATCAGCGAAAGCGACCAGTTAGCGTGTATATAGGCTAGCTGGTTCAACAACCAACTCGGCAAACATTGATCACCCGTACGACATCAGTAAGACTATTGGTACACTTGACCTTGAACCACTTTGGAGTAATGCTTGTTGAGCTGATTATTGCGGATCTGTTGCTTCCGAAGGGTGCACGCAATACAATGTCCGCAACGTGCTATGGACAATGCCTGCTAGGACCAAGCTTGCCCACGGTAGGATTTGCTTCACCAATCCATGCTCGTACACAACGCTCGTCTGAGACGGGTTTGGATGGTAGGAGCAACCTCTGATCTGAACTGATGTTGTTATTGACTTGGTTCATCTTAAAACGCCCTGGGCGTTTTTTAGCGTTGTTCAGTTTGGGCTCTTGGCAAGCTGAAGACGCTAAAGCAACGCTGCGTTTTTTGTTGTTTCGTTTTTAGCGTCATTTTTACGTTTTCAGGTCCGTCGTTGTGGTACAGCGTTTTGTTGGGCTTTTTGCATTATCGTCGAAGGCTCCTCCTTGTCTTCTCTGCCAGCTTGGCTCCAGCGCTCCCCGCCTTGCCACCATTCGCCCTTTCTGCCCACCCTTCCCTCTCCCAAGTCGACGCACCTGCCTTGATCCATGAACTGCGTACACGGGCGGGGGCCCAAAACCCAGTTCCCACGCGGAGACCTAAAAACGCAAAACAGCCGCCCTGACACTGGTCTAACACCAGAAAGGCGGCGGCTACAAAGGAGGGCGGGCTTCCGCGACGAGTCACCAACGACGGCCACAGAAAAGCAAACTTCCGTAAAGAAAACGATCGGGATACGCAAGGAGGAGGACAGCATGCAATCCACGGATCTGAAAGTCTGAAAACGCTCGAAAATTGTTTGAAACCGCTAATACAGCGCATCATTTTCTATCGTTTTCATTTGTTGGTGGAGACCTGGAACCGCCAACACAATGATTTCCAAGTCGCCGAGCTGAAAACGCTAAAAAACGCCCTGGGCATATTTAAGATGAACCATGGTCATTGACGCCTCACGGCTATCATCACGAAGCCACGAAATGGCTGCAAGTATGGCCTGTGATGGTCGCCGTGACTGCCCAACACATCCTTGACTTAGCCAGTATTGCCGTAAGTAATGGCTGGGCTGGGCTCGGCCAGCGCCGCCATCACTGCCACTGACGGTGTCGAACCCCTTATGGGAGTCGTGTTGGCGGCGCAAAACTTGCCCCTACCAATCAATGCGACAATACTGGGACTAAGCGTAGGGTGGGGCGAATGTTGTACACAACTTCAGGTTACCGTATTTTACTGTGACAGGTCGTGCCAAACAAAGCAACATAGCATGAACTATATTTGAAAGCGCGGGCCACGAGCAACACGTTTTTGCACTGTGCATGTGGAAGCTATGTAGTGCGAGCTACGTGGTGGAACATATGTGGCGCAATAGCTGCGATGCAAGCTGTGTGGTGGAAACTATGTGTTGCAAACTACCTGGTGCAAGCTACGTGATGTAGGCTATGCTGTGCAGATGTAATCTGGGTAAGCCGCGCGGTGTGAGCTATGCGGCACAACCTATGTAACATGCGCTGTGTAGGCAAGCTGTATGGTGGACATTCTTTTGTGTAAGCTATGTGGTGTACGCTATGTGGTGCAAGTTATGTGTCAAAATCTACGTGGTATAAGCTATGTGACTGCCTGGCTCACGAGGCGCCCACAAGGCGCCCGCGGGCGCCCACCAGGCGAAACCTCGGCTGACCCACCAATTGCACGAGGCGCCCACGAGCCGCCCACGAAACCTCGGCTGACCTTCCCAGCGCACGAGGTGCCCACGATGCGCCCACCAGGCGCCCACGGGCGGGCACCAGGCGAAACCTCGGCTGACCCATGCAATTCCTCAGGAAGAGAAGTACAATAATTCCTGAGTGACAGCACTGCTGTTCTGTGGAGAGCCATGGCCAAGAACCCGCTCTCGTTCGGATATTGCCAGAGGTGGCCCTGGCCCTGGGAGGCCCCAGGTTTGCCAGGGAGGCCCACGCATGGCCTCCAGAGCACCCCTCACGAGGCCCAGAGGGCCCCACGGGGCCCCAGAGTGGCGTGAAAAGCCGGGGACACAATTCGGCTACACGCAAAGAGTGACCCTGGGTAAGAGTGACCTCTGGTGCGCGGCTTTTTGAAAGCCGCGGGGGGACCAAACACAGGCGCGCAAGACGCTACTCTCACACCGCACTCGGCGATCGGGGGGGCCCCAGTGGGCGCGCACCAAAGGTCACTCCTGCGAAGGGTCACTCGTATGTGTAACCGAACCCTGGGCCGCCAGGACCACCTCCGGCTTGTGGGCATGGCTCTGAGCCACCCAGGTCCGCCTGCGGGGTTGCGACCGCGCGCGGGGGCGCCCTGGCGCAGGGCCGCGGCTGCGCTGCAGCCTGCGGCGTCGGCGCGCTCGGCCAAGGAGGGCGGTTGTTGGGCTGGCGGGCACCGCACGGGGTACAGCGGACACATACGACAGGACATTTTGCCATCAGAAATCTGGGGGTACGCTTGTCGTCGAGCTTTCAGCTTCCTGAGGTGTCCTAAGGCTTTGCAAAGCCTGCGATTCCAGACCCAACTGGCCCATGTCCCAATCATGACGTGTACAATGGCACGCTCTGCGTTCCAAACCTTACAAAATCACGTGCGCGTGCACCAGGTGCAACTGTGGGATAAGGAACTTCTGTTGGGCACCTGCTCGCAAGCCGATTTCTTCTGTGATGTACCTACTGTGCGCTCTGTCAATTCGCTGATCATGGGGGCAGCCAAGCGCATCGAGAATGTACCACGCCGAACGAGGACGGAACATGCCCCGCATGCGTCACCGCTTCGCTCTGGGGCACAGTGCTGCGCGCGCGTGCCGCACGCACAACTGTACGCATATCTTGGGCTTTGTATTGTGTAACGGTGCCGATGGGAGTGCTACGTGCAAGTGTCCCTCTGCTTCGTCGTGGCACCGCGCAACGCAAGTGTCCTCGTTTACACTGCGCCATGTGGCTTTGTCGCGTAATGCTCTGTGGCTCCGTGGCTGCTTTCGCTCGACGTCCATTGAAGCCCCTGGGGGCAGCTGGAAAGTCTCTCGATAGTACAAGCCATACGCCATGCGGCGCGTAGGGGGAATTGGTTATACAGTTGGACACCTCAATACCCCTCTCAGACTCCTGTAGGCAACCTGCGCACTCTGACACTTCTCAGCTCTCTTCATATTCTTTCGGCGACACCTCTGCAGCAGCGGAAGCCGTTCAGGGCTCCATCGGGCCCTCTCTGCAGACCTTCGATGCCGCAGGGGGCGGCCACATGCAAGGACCGCCCATACCATACAGCGCTCCGCATACCAAGAGGGCGGTGCTGCGCGGCCGTGCGTCCTCGACCAAAGGAAGCAAGCACTCCAGCGCGAGTGCAGCACTCATGTCACAGAGAACCTTGGTGCAAAGGGCAAGAAGTCGAAGACGTCGTCGTCGTCGTCGTCGTTGTCGTCGTCGTCGTCGTCGTCGTCACCACCGTCGTCGTCGCCGTCGCCGTCGCCGTCGCCATCGTGGTCGTCGTCGTCGTCGTCGTCGTCGTCGTCGTCGTTCCCGATGGGGGCTATGGGGGCCCAAGGGGCCCCCCACCCCTCCGTTTTCGGCGCCCTCCCCCCGGGAATAAGACCGATCACAACCACTTCGGGCTGTTCAGGAACTACTTCAGTCGGACTGCAACCATTGGGAACGGACTGATCGTAACCGAAAGGATTCCTTGTCAAGCTTTTCTGAAGAACATTGGATTGCAACCGATCCAAGAGGTTCTGCTGAGCTTCTGCAGAGCTCTCAGCGAGGCCTCTGAGAGGCCTCAGCGAGGCTTCTGAGAGGCCTCAGCGAGGCCTTTCAGAGGCTTCTCTGAAGCCTTTCAGAGGCTGCTCTGAAGCC